AAAAATTATTTTGTTAAAAAAAAACTAGGCTTGGTTCAACTATCCTCGGCACTCTAAAACCAACTCAGACACTACATGAACAGGATGGCTCCCACCTCACCAATATCCCTGCTGTTCCCTGGCATCTAGTCATCCACACTCTAGTCTCGGGCTTTCCTTGGAAACAATCAACAAATTTCCTTGACCCCTCTATCAAACAAACAAACCTTATTCTTTCCCCTTCTCTGAAAAATGGTCCATTAAGTTATTAAAATCAAAGCTAGTGTTTAGAGGTTTTTGGTTTTTTTTGGGGCGGGGGGTAGGGGGTGGGTAAACAAAACCAAAAACCACATCAATTCAGGCCTTCTTATCTTAATCAGAAGCAGGCTGGTTTTAGGTCTATTCTACCAGAAAGGCAGTTCCTAAGGTTTTGCCTGATACTAGAAACTGAAAACTGTGAAGCAGCCTTGAGGGTTCAAGTGCCACCTTGAGGCATGATCTTTTTTTCAGTCGTCTATCAAGACAACTTTTGGCCCTTCTGGTTCATTGGGCCCTACTACTGCCCACATCTATCCCACTTGACCCTTTAACAGCACTGCTAAATACCAACTAGGCTGGTTCAGAGATTGGTAGAACTTGTCTTTATACCTCAAAGTCTTTGAACAGATTGACTTGAGCAGAGCTGTTCTAGTACAATTCACCACATCACCATAGCTACCGTGTGACACTTGTTCTACAGTTTCCAATCCATTGTTTCTGTTATTATTTCCCTAATGATTGAGCTTTCTCTTTTAAAGATCATTTTCCCATCTCCACTATACACGCTCTGCAAAGAGCTCCTGACGTGCTTCATTGACAGTCATCCCTTAGCACTGTGTATGTTTGTAATTTGTGGACAATGACTTACAGACAAGTGTGCAAGGAGGTTCTCTTTACAATCCAGAACTCACTGTTAATATGAGTCTTGACTATATATGAAGGAATATGATGACCCCCTAGTCCCAAAAAATTGTTCATTAGAAACCCAGGAACTAGTATGGTTTTCTCACCTCTTATAAGGCATCAGTGTTATGTTATCATATATGCATATGTGTACTACTGTATATATTTATTTTTTGAAGTAAGTTTAAAAAAAAAAAACTTCATTCGCCTGTGTCCAATATAGGCATCTAGGTATAGAGTTACAAATTAAAGGCCACAAACACTTCACAAGGAAAAGCATTAAAAGGAAAAGAAAAAAAGTAAAGATCAGCTCCTCCTTCCATGTAGCACAGCTAGCCTTCAAACATGCCAGCTAAGAAAAAGGTGTCATCCATGGTGACAGGAAGACTGAGCTTTTCCTCTTTGGGTGATAGCTGAATTTTTATTGGCAGTTCTAGTAAAATATGTAACTTCTCATTTGTTCTTAGCAAGGCTTCTCCCTCCCCCCCACAAGCTTTTCTTCAAATAATACCTTTACTCTCCCATTAGAATTTGAAGTCTTGGCGAGTTTGAACAGCAAGGTTTTGAGTGGTAATCAGTCACTTTAAATCATGTGTTGGCTATGTAGAGGATAAAGGATATAGGAGACTGGCAGGGAAGGTGAGTGAGAGAAATAGTTCATTGGACACACTGGAAGACCGCAAGCATTTCAAAGCTGTTTTCGGTATCTCACAAAGGCCCAAACTGCAACCATGGTGAGGGCAAACACTGGTAGCAGCACCATGGCTACAGGAATCCCACTTGGTTCTCCTTCACCTCGATGTACTATAGGTCCATTCTGCACTGGTAACCTATGCTGTACTATCAGGGACACAGCATATCCCGCATTATGAAAGAGGTCTACAGCATCCTGGTGTAGCAGGTTCTTTAAGTCTCGGCCATTTACCGAGAGGATCTTATCACCCTCCTGGAGCCGCCCATCCCGGGCCGCAGCCCCATCCTCTTTGATGCGGCTGACGTAGATGCCACTGTCGTTGGAGACATACTGTTGATCTGTCCCACCGACGATGTTGAAGCCCAGCCCCGAGGGTCCTCTCGTCAGGTTGATCTCTTCCTCCGTGACAAAATAATCCACCCGTCCGTTCATGTCGGACAGCTCTCGGGGCGGAAGCCCGGGGTCAGCTATTGTTGCTTTTTTAACTCTACTCTTTTTGGCTCTTTTGGGGGGCACCATTCAGCTCCCAAATCAATCACATACAGAGACCTATTATTACTTATAAATGCCTGGCCTTAGCCTGGCATACTTCCATCCAGCTTTTCTTAGTTTAAATTATTCCATCTATCTTTTGCCTCTGGGCTTTTTCCTTTTCTTACTTCTATACATCTTGCTTTTACTTTTACTCCACGTCTGGCTGGATGACTTGGTGGCTGGCCCCTGAATCCTCCTCTACTTGTTCTCTTCTCTTTCTTCTTCTATTTATTCTCTCTGCCTGCCAGCCCTGCCTACCCTTTCTCTGGCCTCACTATTGGCCATTCAGCTCTTTATTAGACCATCAGGTGTTTTAGACAGGCACAGTAACACAGCATGTTAACTGTGCAGAGTTAAGCAAATACAACATAAAGCAATGCCACACTTCTTTACATCCTTAAAGCAAATGTTACAGAGTAAAAACTAATATAACACCCCTTAAAATAATATTCTACAACAAAGCACAATGTCACAAAGAACAATAGTGAAGAAAGCTTAAAGGAAGACAATTCACAGAATCAGTCGGCCAGCACTTTGTGGGGCAGAGGCAAGAGGCCAAACTCTCCACTGTTGTTTCTATCTATGTTGTTCTATTTACCAATAAAGACTCCAGAGGTAGATGTTGGGGTGAAAACCTGCTAGATCAGAGAGGCTGAGAAGCAATCGGCTGACCTTCCCTTTTGGCTGGAGACCCAGCAAGAGAGTGCCTCTCCACTAGTCCCAAACTACAAGGGACCACTAATCTCCAAGTCCCTCCTACTCCTCCTTGTGCATCCTTCTGTCTTCCTTGCTCCTCTGTTCTCTCTATGGCTAATTTTTGTCAACTAGCCACTGGCTCCGCCCCCTGACCCAAGGTTAATTTTACTAACACGGTCTCAGAGTTTCACAGTGTGATCAAACATCCAGCAACAACACACTGTCACCCTCAGCAACCTGAGTTCTCCTAGACTTACTGACCATGACTTAGGGAAACCTTTGATTCATTACGTAGATACAGGAAAGAATTTCAAGACTAGCCAGTTAATGAGGCAGAGTTAGGTTTTAATAAATATATCATTTACATGAACTTAAGCACAAGGTCTAAGAGAAAGGAGCTTGTATAAGATGACATATCTGGCAGTATGGATGTGGTATTCCCTACGAGAGTCACTGAAGCAAGGTGTGCCAAAGTGCGGGTATGGCTCCTCAGAGGAGACTAGAAGCCCACTATTCTACAATAGCCATGGACCTTAGTGGGGTTTGATGTCATTATCTTTAAAGGATTCCTAAGGCATGTGATTGGGATTACAGGCTGGTTCCTCAGGAGCACCTGGCAGGATTACAGTTGATAAGACCCACAGGCTACAGGGAGGTACTATAAACTTTTACTGCAAAGAGTCTTGTTTGAGACTCTCGGGTGACATCCGGGGGAAGGAATTAGGTCTTACAAGATCACATGCATTCAAGCCCTAAGCTTGGTTCATTATCAGTTGAACATGAAATATCTATATAAAATTATAAGGAAGGTCAAATTTATGTCGGCTCCCTTTGCAGAAAGTGTTCATTGTGCCAAATTCTTGCATGTCAGCTGATGATGGGGTTCAGTTAGACTCTGGGATGAGGGGATTTTACATCCAGTCTCATATCAACATATCTACGTTTGAAGATGTGAGATCATATGTGAAGAAACAGACCAAGTTTTCTGCTCTTGAAGGAGTTCTCATTTTAAAGAGGAACAGGCAGTTAGAAAAAACCTAATGAGAAAACAAACAGAACCAGGTTTTGAAAACCGTTAGTCCATGAATAAAAGAAAGAAATAGCTAAGAGGTGTGGAGAGTCATCAACAGGATTATGTGGTGTGAGCAGAAACCTTCAGGGGGGAGAGGGAGCAACTGTGCAGGGCACTTAAATGATTGTCACTCTGACTGAATTCATCTTAGCAAAAAGAAGTCATGGTGGCTAATGTATTCAGAGTTACATGTGGAGAAAGGCTGGGCTATGGATATCTTCTGAAGAAGAGTTAATGCTATCTCAGGGAAGGCTGCACTTAGCAGAGAAGACTGTGAGCCATGGCTGAATTCTGGATAAATGTTGAATGCAGACCCATCATATCTCCCTAAGCAGAGGAAAGGTACCTAAGAGACAGGGGAGTGCTTTGGCCTATAGCACTGGATTGAATTGAGGTACTGTTGCCTAACAACATGAAGGCATATGGAGCAAGTTTTGGAAAAGCATCAAAGGCAGGCTTTGATGCTGGGCAGTGGTGGCGCATGCCTTTAATCCCAGCACTTTGGAGGCAGAGGCAGGTGGATCTCTGTGAGTTCGAGGCCAGCCTGGGCTACAGAGTGAGTTCCAGGAAAGGTGCAAAGCTACACAGAGAAACCCTGTCTCAAAAAAACAAAAAAAAGGGACAGGCTTTGATACAAAGATAGTTTTTAGCCATCCAACATGATTTCTTAGATTGGCAACAGGGTATGCAAATCTGGAGTTTTGTAGAGTTTAATACGACCATTTAGAAATTCGGCTACAGTCTAGCTAGAGAGATAGATCCAGCTTCAAGAAAGGTCTATAAAATGATGGTACTGGATGGGGACACTAAAGGAGCCATGTAGTCACAGGGCTATTTCTACATTTAAAATTCTGGTGAAAAGAGAAAGATACAGTAAAAGGACCTAAGAAGGCACACCCAGCAAGATAGAAGTGAGAGCAGAATGCAGGGCCTGGAAGACAAGGTACAAGTGTAATTCAAGAAGAAAGGGGTGATGTAGCATGTCATGCACCTACATCAAGTAAAATACGGTCCAAAGATGCTTTATTAGGTTCATCTGTATGTTTAGAAGCTACTAAAGAGCTAGAGTAGACAGACGATAAAAAATTATGACATGGCATGGCGTGGTATATGGCATGGAGAAAAGAGAAGCAATAGATGAGAATAAGAAAATAAGCTTCCATGATGGCCACAGCCTGCCTCCCCTCGTGCAGTGAACACTACAGACACACTTCATACTTCAGTTTCATTTCTTCATTAAAATTGAAGGATCTATGTAGTGAGCACCAGGGGACAGGAGTCTTAGAAATATGCCTACTAGTGATATATGATGTTGTTATGAACTATTTTTAAAAATGTCCTGACAAAGCATTATGAGACAAAGAACCTCCAAAAGTGCTATTGAGTTCATTATGTGTTGGCCATTGATAGCTAAACATGAAGCCTACCCTTAAGAATTATTTACATACCACCTGAGACTCTGTTGGAGGAAACTAATTTTTCATCTGAAAGCAATTGTCAGTTGGAGATAGCTTCTGGATTAGGGATGTGTGCTTATGTTCACTTCCCCTCTCAACCCTACTACCCAATCTGGCCCAGACCCATGCAGGTCCTGTGCATCCTGCCAAGTCTCTGTGAGTTCATGTCAGTCCTGCTGTGTTTAGAAGGCCTTGTTTCCTTGATGTCCTCCATCATCTTTGGCTTTTACAATCTTTCTCCTTCCTCTCCCCCAGGGTTCTGTGAACCCGAAGGGGAAGAATTTAATAGTGGCATCCCACTTAAGACTGAGTGTTTCAAGGTCTCTCACTTTTTGCACATTATCCAGCTATGAGTCTCCGTATTTGTTCCCATGTACAGCAAGAGGAGGAAGTAAGACACTGATCCATGATTTCAGCAGAATGCCATTAGCAGTCGTTTTATTGCTATGTTCTTTTAACAGAACAGTAACATTTGGTTTTCCCCTATCCTGTCCTGTCAGTATCAACTTCTTGACCACCTAGGCAGTGTCACAGATGGGCTCCATCTCAGAGTGGGCCTTAAATCCAATCCAACCCACAAACTTGGTACCACTGTTGCACTGGCTCATATTGCAGGCAGGTCATCATTGTAGATACAGGAGTTTGTGGCTGGGTTGGTTCTTACCTTTCTTCTTTGGTAGCAGGCAGAGCACCTTCCCATACCAAAGACACTAGCATGTGGGGTGAGAGCTCTTCTTAGACGAATGTGGGGTGAGAACTCTACTTAGACGCCGGCTCAACTTCACCATATTCAGTGAGTTGTGTAGGTGTTGTCTTCAGCAACAGGCCCTCACTATCAGTTTCTAAAGAGTGACCAGTAGTCTTGTCAACAGCCTGGGTTGTTTCAGGGGTTGCCATGGGGTCCCTCCTTTTGGCCAATAATTGGATTAGATCTCTTCCATCTCTTGTATTCTGTTAGTGAGGCTTCCCTCTGGGCTTCCTTTGAGAGTTTCTTATTAGGTGTAGTAGGGTTTCTTTTATGAAATTATCCATTTCCTTTTAGCTTTTCCGATTTGGTGGGGTACAGATTTTAAAGTATGTTCTTATGATTTTTCTCTGTGTTTGTTGTTATGTACATCTCTAATTTTGTTAGTTTATGTTACCTACCTTTTAACTTGGCTAAGGACTTGTCAGTCTAATTGATTTTTCTCAAGAAACCAACTCTGTTTCCTTGATTCTTTATATGGTTTTTGGTGTTGTTTGTTTATTTCTATTTTGTTGATTGCAGCCCTAATTTTGATTATTTCTTGCCACCTATGCCTTTTGGGTGTTATTTCTTCTTTTTCTTTAGATCTTTCAGGTATGCTGTTACATTACTAATATGAGATCTCTCTAATTTTTATGTAGGCACTTAGTGCTATGAACCTGTCTCTTAAAACCACCTTCATGTGTCCCAGAAGTGTGGGTATGTTTATGTTTTCATTTTCATTCTGTTCTAAACAGTTTTTAATGTCTTTATTAATATCTGTTCAGATGCATTTTTCATTCAGCGGTGACTTGTTCAGTTTCCATGAGTTTTAAGCTTCCTGTTGTTTCTGTTGTTACTGATATCCAACTTAATCTGTACTCGTCAGATGGGATATGGGCCATTGTTTCAATTTTCTTATATCAATTGAGACTTACTTTGTGTCCCATCATGTGGTAAATTCTGGAGAAAGTTTCATGAGCGGCTGAAAGGAAGGTACATTCTTTTTTGTTTGTGTGAAATGTTCTGTAAATATCTGTTATATATTCTTTTGGTTTGTGACATCGTTTAGCTCCAGCAATTTGTTGTTTGGTTTTTGTCTGGATGACCTGTTTATTGGTGAGAGTGGGGTATTGAAATCATAACTATCACTGTGTGATATTAGCTGTAGTGTTGTTTCTTTCATGAACATGGATACAGTTGTGTTTGGTGCATAGATGTTTAGAATTGCAATATCTCCTGGTGGATTTTTCCTTTGATGTGTATGTAGTGTCCATCCTTATCTCTTCTGATAAGTTTTGATTTGAACTCTATTTTGTCAGATATTTAAAAGGCTACACCTGCTTACTTCTCAGGTCCATTTGCTTGGAATATCTTTTTCTATGCTTTTACCCTGAGAAGATGTCTATCCCTGATGTTAAGGTGTGTTTCTTGGATGCAGCAAAAGAATGGATCCTATTTTTGAATCTCTTCTATTAATCTCTGTCTTTTTCTTGGTAATTGAGGTCACTAATGTTGAGAGTTACCAATGAACTGTGTTTGCGGATTCTCACTATTTTGGTATTGTGTCATGAGTTGTTTTCTCCCTCTTGATTTGTTGGTCTGAGGTTATTTATTCCTGTGGTTAGCCTCTTTAGGTTGAATTTTTTCTTCTAGCACTTTCTTTAGACCTGGATTTATAGATATATACTGTTTAAATTTGGTTTTACTGTGAAATGTCTTTCTCCATTTATGGTGACTGAACGTTTTACTGGGTATTGTAGCCTGGGCTGGTATCTGTGGTCTCTTAGAATTGTCTAGCTCATTTGTCCAGGCTCTTCTGGTTTTTAGAGTCTCCCTTAAGAAGTCTGGTATTATTCTAATAGGTCTGCATTTATATGTTATTTGATCTTTTTCCTTTGCAGCTTTTAATAGTCTTTCTTTGTTCTGTATATTTAGTGTTTTGATTATTGTGTACTGTGGAGACTTTCTTTTCTTATTCAGTCTATTTGATGTTCTGTATGCTTCTATCTTGATAGCATCTTCTTCTTTAGGTTAGTGAAATTTTCTTCGATGACTTTGTTAAAAATATTTTCTATGCCTTTGACTTGGGTTTATTCTCCTTCCACTATCCCCATTTCTCACAAATTTGGTCTTTTCATAGTGTCCCAGATTTCCTGAATGTTTTGTGCCTTTTTTTTTTAGATTTAATATTTTCTTTGAGTAAGGTATCATTTCTTCTATCGTGTCTTCAATGCCTGAGAGTCTCCCTTCCATCTCTAATATTCTGTAGGTAAGGCTTGCCTATGAGCTTCCTTTTTGAGTTCCTAAATTTTTTATTTCTGGTTTTACCTCAGTTTTGGGTTTTCTTTCATAAGTTCATTTCTACTTTCATGTTTTGAGCTGTTTTATTATTTCATTCCACTGCTTGTGTTTTCATATGTTTCATTAAGGGATGTATTCATATCATCCTTTAAGGACCTTGAACATATTCCGAATAGCTATTTTGAAGTTCTTGTCTTCTGCATCAGCTACATTGCATTTCTTTGCCTACTGTAGCAGTCTGGCTTGCCTTTAGTGGAGACATAGTGTGTTAATAGCTGACATTGTATTTCTATGCTGGCATCGAGGCAGCTGGGTTTAGAATGATTATAATTCTGGGTTTGATATAAGGTCTTGTCTTCTTTGGGTGAGTGTTTCATTCATTTGATTTGGATTGCCCTCTCTGGATCTTAGGAGAGTGTGGAGGTTGTGTGTTGCACGGTAGGGAGCACTACTGATACCTTCCAGGTATGGGTTCCCGAGAGAATGTAGTTCTAGGAATCGGGAGCTAAAAGGATGGAGGGGATGACCAAGAAGGGGGAGGGGTGAGAGAGTCCATCGGAAGGAGAAAAGTTGGGTCTGTCACAAGGATCTGCTTAGTGCCCTGGGAATGGGGACAGAGAGGAAGAAGAAGCCTCAGCAGGTTGTCTGCTACAAAGCTGGGGATAGGAGGGAGAATATAGATTGCCTACCTAATTGATACCCTGGCCTCCAAAATCAATTTTGAAAGACATAATTTATTTGTAAATTGGGTGGTCTTCCTACCCTGCTCTGAATATGTGCTTTGTGTATTCTTAATTAAATGTGTCCTTATTTAATAATTCCCCAGAGCGTTTGAAACTGTTCCTTGGGACAAACTGATACCACCAAAACTTGATCCAGAGGAAACAACAGTGGAAAGGGCTGCAGACCTCATCTCACAGTGTTTCACCCTGAAAAGATATGAAAGAGTGCCCGCCATAACCCAGGTCAGTGGGCGTGCCTGACCATGGTGCCTACTGTTCGCCTTCACTCAAGCCACAGTGAAATTTTCTTGTTAAGAATTCCATGTGGAATTGAAAGTTATATAATTTCAAGTCACTGGTAACTGTAAACGTCTTTCTCACTGTCCATACTGAAGATGGTTACTACTTAATGACTTCTCCCTCACAGTCATTTGTGGTGGCTGTGACTTTTGGAAACCATAGAAGAATGTTAAATAAGGAAAGAGACACAGAGATGTTATTCCCTCAGATAATCTATGCTGAGCATAGCTCTGGTAATAGGACCTAGAATTTAGCTGCCCACTCCTCAAGCAGAATAGGAAGATCCATGAGTTGTAGACCGCTCTCTCATGTTTCCGGTTATGTGATCAACAAAGCCCAGAGGGCTCTCAGAGAGATGACCATCGGTTTCATTTCTGAATGTCAGAAAGAGTTCATCATGTGGACTGTTGGCCGTGGATCCCTACCACAGCTGGAGCACTTTCTCTAGAGTGTAGATCTGTCCATGTTACTACACTGACTGTGTCTGGTTTTTTTTTTTTTTCAGAACATGGAACCCATGCTATTTGACAAGACACGTAGCCAGTCATTTGCCTGTTCTGTGTTATCTTCCTTCTCTAGTGAACACTCAGTGTCCAGTTCCACCATGCTCCCCGGCCGGTCCTGCCTTTTGCAATGTCCTCATCACTTTAATAACTCTGTGCTAGGATGAACCCCAAGCATTCACGAAGCCCTGGCTTTTGTCCTCCCAACACTGCCTCAGACACCCCTGCTTCCTTGTCCCTTTGCATTCTATGCCACAGCTCACAGAGTGAGTCTGGGTCAGCTGTTGGATGATTTCTCATAATGAAGTTTTTGAGCACAGAAAATCCACATATAAAGAGGGAAACCGATTATACCCTAAGGAGTCCCTAAGCCCCCAATTAGGAAGTCTGCATTCTCGTGTAAAATTTCTTCCACTCTCATAAAGACATAATAGGAGAAGAAAAACATAGCTTTAATATGAACACTCAAACATTGGATTGTTACATAGAAGTTAAAATCAGTTAAAGGACAAAAGCTGTGTATGACTTCATTTATTTTTAAGGATCTTTAAATTACTTCAAAGAAATTTTATATCTCACAAAAATTGGTATTTCATTATATTTCCCGTGTTAAATGATTTGAATGTCTAAAGACCTCTGAACCCAGTCTCTGTACAAAGATGTAAAGGAAAGCCCACGATGGATCTCAGAAGAGAAGGCTCTGTCATGTCTTTCACATGGAGAAACCATGTCACCTGGAGAAGGTGCACATGAGGCAGATTCCAGCTTGGAGGAAACATAGTGGAGTGGAAGTTTGAGCAAAGAGCCAAGACCCACAGCACTCAGAAGCAAAGCCCCACCCCACCCACCCAGAATTGCCAGGATGCCTGGAAAGAGTTTTCCCCGAGTTAAGACTCAGCTTTAATGACCTGCTAAGGACACCAGGGCCTCTATGAAATTACAAGCCGGGCAGTGGTGGTGCACATGTTTAATCCCAGAACTCGGGAGGCAGAGGCAGGCGGATCTCTGTGAGTTCGAGGCCAGCCTGGTCTACAGAGTGAGTTCCCAGACAGGCTCAAAGCTGAGAAACCCTGTCTCGAAAAACCAAGAAAAAAAAAAGAAATTACAATAAGATCGTTTATTAGCTTTTGCTTATCTCCATAATGCTTTAGATGGTCGGAGGACTCTGGGACAGATTTCAGACGAGATTGTTCTCAGCGCCAGTCAAACCAATCAATTTGTAAGTTTGCTTTCCTACTGTTGTCCTTGCTCGCTTTACCCTCCTCACTAAGAACCTGATGCCCCTGCTGAGGGCAGGAGAGGCGCCCAGCTTTAGATTAAATTGTCCCAGAGATCTTCATCCAAAGGTCCTGGGCTGAGAAGAGAATCCGAATCCCATTTCAGTTGCTCGGCAATGCCTGGCCTCTCATTACCCTCAAAATCAACACTATTAAATGTACTGCATTTTAAAATTGTAGGTGATGTGGACAGTTGCCAATGTTGTGGTACTCCATGGACTTCATATAAAGGGGATTCTAAATGATGTTCCATCAACTTTCATATCATGTATTTGTGTTGTATTTATGCTTAAAGCTATGGCTTTATTACTGATGTTCTCCTATGTACAATTCTGTACATTAGTTTAAAAAAAACTGGTGATTTGGTCTTCCAAAACATCAGTATTTTGTTGTTCTTTATAGCTGATACAACTCTGGTTATGGTCTCTGCTTATTTAATTCACTCTAAATATTTCCTATTTAAAAATATATAAACAAAAATATGATATATTGTGTATAACTTCCCTCTACTGAGAAAAAAATTACAGTGGGAATGCCTGAGCCTCTCCAACAGCATGTCCACCTCCTTCCAGAAATATTATTATGGGTTTGGTGTTCCACACTTTCATGTAATCTTTAATCCTTTAGCCTACTATTGTTTTTTAATAAATTTCTTTACGTATTTGTTTTACATCCTTGCTGCAGTTTCCCCTTCCCTCCTCTCCTCTCAGTCCCTCCCCCCACCTCACCCCACTCTGTTCCCACCACCCACACATCCACTCCTCCTCAATCTCTGTTTAGGGAAAGGCAGATCTCCCGTGAGTATCAACAAAACATGGCATATTAAGTTGCAGTAAGACTAAGCACCTCCCCATGTATAAAGGCTGGGCTAGGCCTTATGAGGGCTAGGATCCCAAAAGCCTGTAAAGGAGTCAGAGACAGGCCCCATTCCCATTGTTGGGAGTCCCACGAGAGGACCAAGAAACACAGCTGTGACATATGTGCAGAAGGCCTAGTCCCTTGCAGGCTCCCTGACTGTTGGATCAGTCTCTGGGAGTCCCTATGAGCCCAGGTTAGTTGATTTTGTGAGTTTTCTTGTGGTGTCTTTGACCCCTCTGGCTCCTACAATCCTTTCTCCTCCTTCTCCGCAAGGTTCCCTGAACTCTGCCTAAGGTTTGGCTGTGGGTCTGCATCTGTTTCCATCATTTTCTGGATGTCTCTGATGACAATTGGGCTAGGCACCAATCTGGTCACAGGAGGTGCCCAGTTCAGGCTAATTTCCTGCTATTGCTAGGAGTCTAAGCTGGGGTCTTCCTTGTAGATTCCTAAGTCTACTATTGTTAACCAACATACAGTATTAGATTCCTTTTTTAAACTTTTGTAAAGATACATGGTCTCTTGCTTATGTTTGTGCCTCCTAGCCTTGTATCCCCTACTGTGCTCATAAGATTCATATCTAGTCTCTCTGGCTCTCTGGGTGTTCATTTTTTCTGAAGCATGTAATTCCATTGAATAGTTATACCACAGTTCATTTACCCATTCACATAATTTGTTTCTGATTTAACTTCAGTTGAAACAACATACATGTACTTTCACACACTCAACTGTAAAAATATTTCTGGATTTGACACATACCGATTCATGTCTATACTTTCTGGATCAAGAAGGGTATCTCTTCTTATCTTCTAGTTATTTTTATATTCTTCATCAAATGAGTTGAACCAATGGTTTGTCCCACCAGTAGTGCTTAAGTTCCCATTACAATACCTTGGGGGACAATGTTAGAATTTGCTCAATTAAAAATAATTTTTCATTCTTATAAATATGAAGTTACACTGTATTAAAATTGCAGATTACATACACCTAATGCACTTGCCACCAAATCTGACTGTATGTACCGGTCCTGCAACCCACATGACGGAAGGAGAGGACTGAGTCCCAAAACTTGCCTTCTGATCTTTACAAATATGCCAAAGCATGTGTAGCACCCCAACACACACACACACACTCAAACTTACATACTGAAGAAATGAATAAATAAATGTAATAAAAATAGGCAATTTTCTTTCTTAACTGTACACATGGAAATGTCTTTCTCACCATTCTTTTTGGATGTAAGTCAGGGATCCAGTCCATCACCATAACTATGAGTTTGAGTTCATTTGTATGACTAGTTTCTCGGTGGCCCAACGGATGGTATGTGGTCTGATGTGCGGTGAGTCACAACAAGCATCACTAATGACTGCAAAGCTGTGAGAGGCAATGTGATGAAACTGTGCTTTTCACAAATACAGTGTGAGTCAGACAGGCACCACCAGAGGAGCATGCACAATCCCAGGAAGTGATCACTGTACCTCCTGATATTGAGAAAAATACCAAGTCTTATAAAAAGAAAATGGAAGAAATAGTCTCCCTAAGGGATGAGTCCCCTAGTTAGTTACCCAACACCAGGTGGTCAGTCCTGAAATCATATACATATAAGTAGCACTAAACAAACTCAGCTGGTTGTATTTATGTATGGGGGGGCGGTAACAATAGCAAATAAAAAGTGGTCATGATTTCAAGAGAGAGTTGGAGAGATAACCTGAGAAGACTTGGAGGGAGAAAATGGATTGGGGGAAATGATGTAATTATGTTTACATTTAAAATCCTTTAAATAAAATTTTTAAAGTACATTTTATTCAGTCATATCTAAAAATAATATGTAAGACTTTAGAATTATTGTTAAACTGTCTTGTCAAATGTATAATCACACCTCAATGTAGATTTTAGCATACAAATTGAAGATAATTCTTTTAAGATAGGAACATTAAAAAAATAAGCTTTGCATCTACACAGCAAGCTAGAATTGTTTATAATGCTCCTTAAATACTTTTATAAATAATATATATCATTGATTTTTTTTATTTTGTTCTGCTTTGTTTCTGAGGCAGCTGACCTCCACCTCATAATCCTCCTGCCTCAGCCTTCAAGTTCTGGAATTATGGGCCTATGCCAAGGAGCTCAGCTTCATACTAATCTTTCTTGTATGTGTGTGAATGAAATGCCCGGGTGTCGATGAAGGCATGTTACTTAAATCTTTTTGTTGAGGTTTTTATGGATTTGCTGTATTTTAGGGGATTGTTTAACAAATGAGACAGCACTTGAAAGCTCTGCTTCTTCTTATTAATGGCACTCCTCCAAACTCGCCAGGGCGTCGCTCAAGGTGGAGCCACGGAAAGTCCTTCCCAGGAACTTACACAGGAGCCTGTATATAGCTGCTCATAGCGGTTTTACTCACAGCTTCTAAGATCTGAACACAACCAAAGCACCCTTCAGCAGGGATGGATAGGCGGCATTCAGAAGCATTACAAAGCAATGGAATATGCTCTGAAACCACCCCATTGTTTCTAAAACAAACTTTTAGAGGCCAATTTCTGCATCTCTCAAGGTCTTTTAATTTGAAACTTGTTATAGTAATTTAACTAACTTTAAAAATATAGTATTAATATTTAAAATATCAATAATTCAACTGCCTATTTTTTTTCTTTTTCTCAGTGTGAGTCCAAGTTCTAGGAGTAAATACATCCCTCTCTATACGTAAGTGATGTTTCTTGTTGCTTTAAAATAAACCATACTTAAGTCTAAATCGTAGTTCATTTCACCTCACTGTGCTTCAGTCCACTCTTAAATCGACCTATGTGTTTTAACATCCTTCAGTGTGCTTCTGGTCCGTGCCTGTTTAGTGCCGGGAGTTTAATCAAAGGTTTATCAGAGATTTTAGTTAAACTTTAAAATGACGAGTGACACATTTTCTGTTTTCCTCAATAGGATGATTTAGGAAATAAAGTGACCCTGTTGCTCCTCCTCATGCTGTCAGTCAGAAACAACGTGCAGCTGGTAACACTGTAGTCAGGAACACGGAAATGCAGGAAGGACAATCCTGTCCTTACCTGCTGTAACTCTGGCTCTGTGAATGGCAGGAGTGCATCGTTCATCTTCAGCCATCTTCTCTCCTTTTTGTTCTTAGTTTGAAAGGTCACCTTGAAATGAAGGAGATGAGAGGACATGGAGGGGACACTCAGACTTTGATCAGGGCCCCCTCCTCCTTACTGGTGTTTTAATCCCAGAAGCTTTTGAGACACTGACCTGCTGATATGATCTGCCTTCCAGCCTTTTCTCCCAGCTCAGCAATGTGGCCCACGCTCCTGACACCTTCCTAGCTAGACTCCAGTGCCCACAGAGCCTTGCTGTCTCCGACAGATATCAACCCCCCCATGCCCTGCATCCACCCTGTGTCCTGGGGCTGCAGAAGCCCCAGCTTCTGAACCAGAAAATCCTGAACAGCTGCCACTGTCCCTCCTGCTCAGGTTTCCAATCCCAGAGTAGAGGCCTCATAGTCTAAAAACAAAGAGCCGTACCTTTCTTGTTTTTAATCCCAATTGTCATTTGTCATCATATTTTTCCTGCTTGAGCCTTTTATCTACTCTGACAAATCAAGCATCCCTTATTTGCTTTGCTCAACTAATCTAAGTTTTCTACAACTTTCCTTTTCACTGTGACAGTGGTCATGTGCAGAGTACAAACGCTGACGATGTGGACAACCCCTACGGAGATATCACATCGGTGGCCAAGCCTCGGCACTCTAAACTGCTCTATACAAACACAAGTTGGTAAGTGCCATCCTCACTTATTTGCTGATCAATAAGGATAAAACTTGCTCATGGAATTACAGATGGAAGGGAAAGAAATGGCCTAGCTTGTTATGGGCCAAAGCTTATGAAGAAGAAAATGTGAGTTTCTTAAAAGAAATGATGACCTGAGGGCTAACAGTTTGGGGGCTCGCCTGGAATTCCTTGAGCAAGCCACTCTATCACTGTGACTTCAGTGTCGTCATCTGCCACAAATTGCCAACAGCATTAGTAAAAAGGACTTGGCTGACCAACAAGTCATTTCATTTTATAACCATCAATGCTGAGAACACCACTTTGTCTAAATAGCTGTAAAATGGCAGAAATTACTGGTACTTATGTCCTGACCACAAATGAAAATTCATTGAACAACTTTTTAAATAAAATCAAGACAACTCAGTCATTCTAAAACTCAAGCATTCTAGGGCTGGAGAGATGGCTCAGTGCTTATGAATGCTTTCTGCTCTTGAGAAGGACCCACTTAGTTCCAGAACTGAGGCCAGGCACTCACAACCACTTGTTACTCCAGCTCCAGAGGACTCGATTCCCTCTTACAGCCTCCTGCAGCACCCACACTCATGTGGTGCACAGACACACAGAGATGTGGGTAAATAAAAATAAATCTTTTTTTTTTTAAACTCAAACCACCTAACAGTACAGTCTGAAGTTATACTAATTTGATATTTACATGCTAAGAATGGTGGTAAGAAACTACTAAAAGTCTTTCTTTCATAATTGAATCATAAAATTTCTAGGAAAGCGGAAAACTCTGTCCATACAGTAGGTCGGTGTAGGTCTTAGCATACACGGTCTGGAATCTGAGCCTGTGTTTCAGTGAGTGTTGGCGTCACATGGCAGATAGCAAGAGCAATGCAAAGTGCTCGAGTTGTGTGTTCAGAACCAAGGCTGTGGTGAAGTCAAATGATGACACACAGGTCACACTGCCCCAACCACCTCAGACTTACTGTAAGTGGACTGTGAGTCAGTTTTAGGTTCTTGTGCATCCAGAAACACTTTATTATTACCAAACCCCTGTTATGACCCCCACATCCAGTTATACGACATATGGGTTATGATGCATAGTCTAAGAAGCAGGGCCATAGAATGAATATACTTAGTCAGCCCTTCTTTGACCCGCGATTGGATAAATTCATCCTAAGTTATTCTCACTTTGCAACACACAATGCATGTAGGACTGGAGCTGCTCCTGTTTGTGATCCTGGGCTGACTCACATTGCATACTGCATCCTAGCAGCCCAATAGAGAATGGAATCACATAGAATCAGCTGGGGGAAAGATTCACATTTAAAGTCAAGACACACTTTCTATTGTATCCATACCACTTTTGCACCATTATGCTGAAGTCAGAAAATGAGTTAAACTCCTATACATCCCTCTATAATAGATGTTACAAAATACTTTTATGGTTATCTTAGTTACTTTCCTATTGCTGCAATGGGGAGACCGGGACCGAGGCAGCTTGTGGAAGGAAGGGTTTATTAGGGATTATGGTTCCAAATAAATAAGGGTCTGTTATGGGAGCAGCCGAAGCAGCAAGCTGAGAGTTCACACACACACACACACACACACACACACACACACACACACACACACACAAGGAAACAGAGAAAGAGTACTGGGATGGTGCAAGGCTTTGAAACCTCAGAGTGTGGCTTCAATGATGTACTTCCTTCAGAAAGGCCATACCTCCTAAACTGCCCAAAGAGTGCCATTGACTGGGGACCAAGTATTAAAATGCCCTAGACTATGGGGGATGTTTTTTTCAAACCTCCATATTCTTATTGTCTTCCATAAAGTATACGATGTATACACACAGGCTCAGAGCAATCATGTTAGGTGTCCTTTGGTATAGGGGCAGAGAATTTGGTTCCAAAGACCTGAAGATGTTAAGATTTGAGGATATCAAATCCATATAAAATGGTTTAATGACTGCTAAAACCTACTGTGCACATCCTCCCTAGATTCCTTGTGGTGCCTAGTACACTGGGCATGCATCTAAGTAGCTTTCATACTGCATTGTTTAGACACAATGACAAAAAAAATAAAACATCATTTTGAGGGCCACATTTTTTAAAGTATTTTGTTTATGCAGCTCATTGAAGTAGACGTTTCACTCTCTTTCCCCCATGCCACTGAGTTGCCAAATACCAGAGATACTCTCACATTGGTTTCTGTGATTGACAGCTTACTAAGGATTTCATACAGTCATAGTCACAACATTTTTTAAGTATTTATTTATTTATGTGTATGGGTGTTTTGCCTGTGTATGTGCCCACAGAGGCCAGAAGAGAGTGTTAGGTTCTCTTGGAATTAAGAGTTACAGATGGTGTTTAGCCGCCATGTGGTTGCTGGGAATTGAACCTGAGTCCCTTGGAAGAGCAGTCAGTGCTCTTAACCCCTGAGCGATCTCTCCAGCCCATGTCACAACATTTTAAATGCTAACCAATTTTATCTTTTAAAAACATATTATGCCCACAAACCAATGTAGATAAATTTCTGACTAGCTTACCTTCTGCTATATTTTATTGTTTGTTAATTGTAACACTATCTCTTACTATAATTTTGAATTTGGGAGTTTTTTCCTGTTATTTATTTACTTATTTCTATTATCTATTTTTCCTAATTCTTTTTACTCTCTGTCAAGCTATAAAATAGCTTTAAAAACTATCTTTGACTTTAGTACACTTATGTAAATAGTCTCAATCAAAGAATTTAAGCATATCTGTCTAGGGCTGGAGGCTATGCTAAGAACTGTCCTAATGTAAATATTTTTTAAAAAAAAGATTTGCCTCCAACAAGCTAAAAATCTTAGTGGACAGATTATTTCACAAAAACCTGAGCTTTGGTTTTGACTCATGACTATAAAGAAGTCACTCTGCTGGGCGGTGCTGGCCCACATCTTTAATCCCAGCACTCGGGATGCAGAGGCAGGTGGATCTCTCTGAGCTTGAGGCCAGCCTTGTCTACACAGTGACTTCCAGGACAGCCAGGGGTACATAGAGAAACTCTGTCTCAATTAACCAAAGGAAGAAGAGGAGGAGAAGGAAAAGAAGGAAAAGAGAGAGAAGGAGGAGGAGAAGAAGGAGGAGAAAAGTCCCTTCCACATGTGGCATTATGAAGGCGGTTGAAACCTGCCACGCACTATCAAGTCTGAACGAGTCAGATGTAAAATTCTTCCATAAATTCTGCAAGGAAATCATTGCTATTAAACAATCATTACAAAAAAATTAAAGGAAGAACATAAGGAGAAAGCCAATCTTAAAATGTTCACCAAGCATCTGGTTTTATTAATGTTTCCTTTTATTCAAATATATACTTGAATTTTGAAATGTTTTCTGAAACAATCTTGCCGGAAAAAAAAATCAAACTTTCTTTGGGATCATTCTTAAAAGATACTGAAACAAAAACAGGAGGCTTTTTTATCCAAAAAAAAAAAAAGGAAAAAAATGACATTTCCTTGAGTTTGGAAGAGTGCTTATTTACTTTGTCTTGCTGTAGCTTGTGTTTTAAGGACGCTGAGTAGAAGAGAAGCCTGTAACTGACATTTAGCTGTGCTTCTCTGATGTGGGCACTAGAGGGCGTCCCAGGTTGCAAAGTTTCTTCTGATTGATTCTGTTTTGTAACCAACTCATAACCTTTTAACACAACAAATGTTTTCCATTTTTATCATGAAGTGTTTATGGATGTGGTGACACGTAGTGTCGTACATAGCACACACAAGTGTATAGTAAATGCCTGTGTTTGTCCACATTGAGCTTGAGAAAGAGATTTCTAGTGAACTCTTCTGAACTCCACATGCCCTATGCCCCGGGACCTCAACATCTCCTCCCCTGCACCAACCAAGAAGCTCTGCTTTGTGCTGATCTCTTGTTTGCCCCACCTGCGAGTCTGGCTACCTACAGATGGGTCTCAAATTAAATATTATGTATTTTGCACAATATGACACTGGGCTTACAATAAAATTATAAATTTTATAAAAATATGATTTCATCTCCACAAAGTCTGAAGTCCAGAAATGCACATTTTTATTTTGTGCCACATAGGGGAAAATGAAACACCACTACCCTATTTAATTGCAAATGTGATTTTCCTTGGAGTTTCACAACTTAAAAGAACGTCTTACCTAGATACCCTATATTATCTTTAGAGTCCAGAAGATTGGTGTCTAACTACGCCCTTACCCTTGCCATGATACTGTCCTTCAGGAAGACAAAAAGTCACTGTCAACCTCCAGTGGCTTGACCTTCGGGGCATTATCTTTCAAATTTTCCTCAGGTGACTTCTGTCTGTCTGTCTGTCTGTCTTCCTTCCTTCCTTCCTTTCTGTTTCTTTCTTTTTTCTTTTCCAGTTACCAGGTCATCTGACATAACCAGTGTAGTCGACATTGATGGAGAATGCTTTAACAGTTTAAAATGTAGCTTATAATTTTTGTTGTAGAATTAAATCCAGTCATTATAAGAATTGAGTGCAGAAAGCATTAGTAAACACAAAACCAAACTCTCCCATGAGAACATAACTGCCTCTGACCCTTCCCACCTATCACATGTTACAGGGAGCACCCCCCACTGTGATATGCCACAGGGAACATGCACCACCTCTGTGTTACAGCATGATCATGAAACACTTTCCTAAACACCGCTTCTATTCTTGCAGATATATTGCAATTGACTAATTTGTTTAAGTTCATATATGAATTGTTTCCTTTCTCTTTTCTTTTCCCTATGATACACAGTTCTCTCAAATATTTTTTACATATATCTTTCATGTTTTAAAATTATTTATTTGAGATTCCTTGAAATAGATTCCAGGGTCAAGATGTAACAACACTCTCAAGCCTGTTGTTCAGTGATTTTCTGAAACTGTTCTGTGTGCCCCAGGTCTGTGCTCACCTCTAGTATTAGCAGAGCTCATTAAACATCACCTTTTAACTCCTACATATCCTGACTATAGCAATAATCCAA